CCAAGTTCTAACATCGTGGACACTGGCCTTTACAGCCAACTTCTAGACTATTTTGATCTTAATATTATTCGTGACACAAAAGAAAGCATATACGTTATTAAAATGCACGAGATTCATTAGTTACCCCGTGCAAAATGCTCGCACAAATCAGGATGGTTACACGTTGGGAATATGAACTGCAGAAACTGTAATTATGTCGCGTTGGAGCGGGAAGAATATCGGGCGTAACGAGCTTGTTGAAGAGAGCTCTCGCGCCGCAATGAAGCTGTAGTATCGTACTTATTGCGACGATCTTTAATTTCCTGCTGCAATCGGCGGATAAAGATTACGATTACGTGAGGATTACTGCAAAATGTTGCGTAAAAATTAATCGTAAAATTATATGTCGAGACATGCGTTTCCTTCGTTGGACAAAGCCGCGCACGGGCACGAATCGAGTCAGCTTAATCCCACTCGACCCTTCTCACGCATACGTGATCGGTTTCTTAAACACGGTATTAGGAAAGTCTCTTTTTTGGGTCGACAAATCCGTCATTGAAATTCTTGCGTCGCCACTCGAGCGTTTGCATGTTGTCAACCCTTCCTCAAAAATAACATTCTTCTAAATATATTATAGAAAACGCAAATTGCATTTTTATTTCAGTACAAGTTAAAAAAATATCGAAACAAGAAAGTAGACATAGACACGAGTTTTACATATTTCCTAATAATTTTGTTTTATACGTTGTAAATAATATTTGTGGAGTTAAAATAAAGGTTGCACTTAAGGCAAATAAAATATTAAAAGCGCGATATGCGGTATTATTTAAAATCTCGTTGAGAGATACGGTTACAGGGAAAATAATCATGTCGCGGGACCGTGTACATTTAAGGGTCGAAATGAAACGTATTTTCAATTGCAGCAGCCGCAATTTTACGCGCTCCCAGACCTAATTTCGAGGAGTTTCAAACATTAACTCGGAAACTCATTCAAGTCATTTCACGATAATTAATAATTTTGAACGTGCTACGGCGTGTCTGACGGAAAGCGAGCGGGTAACGTTATGAAACTGTTAAAGGCCATTTCGAGTTTGGAATGTACACAATTTCCTACGAATTTATGTGGGGAGAAGGGTAATAAACCTAGAAGAAACAATATCTTCGCCGAGGAAAGCGCCGATTCATCGTGCTGTTAAATGTTGGCGCATGGGAAGAGAAATCGACGAGCGACCTGTTCGCACGATCGATCTCCTGGCACTCGGGATAACCGCGTGCATTATCAGCGTGCGTTTTCTAGCTTAGACACAGTTGGAAAAGTGTTTGCGATTAGAAGTGGAAAACCGACGAAAGAAAGCGACGTCCCGACTTTTCAGATATGTGAGAAAATCACAAGACAATAAAACTCTCTCTCTCTATTGTGTCGAAGGAACGAAATGGCTCCCATGCTTGTACACGCTGCAAAGTACGCTTGCACTCGCGCTCGACTCACTATCGTAGATAAATTGTCTAATTTGTAATTACGCATAAAGGGTCCCGTACATCGGTAAACTCGCATAACGATCGCGGTCGCCACTTCGAGACAATTCGCTGAAAACATATTAATCTTTTCAGTCGAGGTCTAAATCATCTCGTCGAGGCTGATAAGGCCATGAGATACACACGCGACAGTATTAATCCGACCACTAACGTGATGATCTTCTAACACGATGAAGCGACGCAGAGTAGACGCGTTTCGAATATGACCTTCAATAGTAATACTTCAAAATACTTCTAATTCGCACAGTAGCACGCATGTATATTATACTCTTAAAGAAGATATAGGGAGGAATATCTATCTCGTGATTGTCTAAAACTGCTAGTTATCTTTCCAACTCGCCAAAGAAAATTTCGAAAATATCTTATATCAAAACATTCGCCAAGATGTTAAAAAAATCATATTCCCTATATTTCTTTAAATTTTCATTATTTTACATTTATATTTTATTATTATTATATCTGTAATTAAGTTTAAATTTAAATTGTATTGAAGATAGGTGTTTTTAATTAATTTAAAAAATAAGATTTTTACTTTTCTCTCCTGAAGCTTCGTTTACCACAAGCTCTCTTTGTTCAATAATTAATTAGAGACAAGACACGCTTTGATACGTCGCGTGAAGAAAAAAATTGGGCCCAATTTGGTCAAAGAATTTGTGGTGCAATCTGCTGAACATCTGTTAGTTTCAGACACCCGTATACTTTCATAGAGAGTGAACAACTTAATAAAGAATAACTTGCCCATTCGTGACGCTATTTTCACTGAAATGTAGAAAATCGCATCGCGTTGTCGATAATTTGTGTAATAGGCCTGAACAATGTCCGATCTATGCATGCAACATTTCCCGTGATGTAATCGCGTAATTTTACCCGCGCGTGCATTTACGCACCCGTGCAGTTATCGTTAACTCGTTCGCGAACGCGACGCCGAGCGTATCCAGGTTGTGTTTGTAAGCAAAAATACGTGAGTTTCACTGAATGCTGAATCTGCGAAGCATTTCACAACTCCACTTCACCGGTCAAGACGTAGTGAATATCACGTTTGTGCTTCATTAAGCGAATTTTACATTACAAAACTCCCGGCTCGTGACACCCGACGAAATGTACTTACGAAATATAATAACGCAATTATTTCAGTAATTAAACTCCCGCAAATTACTGCGATTTGAAATTCTCAGAATATTCCTTCCCTTGATACGCATTTACTGTCGATTAAAAAAAAACCATGACTTTCCTTTAATCTTAACATCAGCGCAGAATCACCTTTGTAAAACTAATCGTTTGTATTTAAACGCCCGCAACAATGTGTGAGAAAATCTGAAGCAACAGACCTAACGTTCTCTGTAAATGTAAAGTTAATAAAAATGACGCGTTTAACGAGCAGGAATTTAAAACGTGAGAAAAGCAGGTGTTCCGTTAATTACGCAAGTCTCTAATGAACGTAATGATACACTGATCACTCACAGGTGAAATAAAGATGCTCATCTATATTGTTCTCTGTAGAGAGCTGTCGCGAGCTCTTTGCCACCGAGTGACTCACAAAAGTTCATGGAAAACGCAGTCAAAGGTCGACTCGCGTTACTTCGCGGCAGCTTTCGAGTTCGCGGATCGACTGCGCGGTACTAAGCCGCAGCAACATCCGTTCTCCGTTCCTCCGAGCTGATACCAGAATCGCCATCTAACGGTTCGCGATACAGACGACGCGTCGAATTATCCGTTAACATTAATTGCAAAAGTAAATCTAAAAAAAAGCATACGAGGTATTTCGTAATGAGCGTGTAAAGTTCCGATAATTCGTCAACCATGTTATCTTGACAAATGCAATTGTAGATCTTTGTTTAAATAAAAATTTATTGACCAAACATTAGAATCGTATCAACGTTTTATCAGCGTTGTGATAAAAGTAGGAACTTCATTGTTTAAGTGTGCGACAAATATTTTTGGATTCATTGTTAAATGCCCCGTTAAATTAATCGCATTCATTTAAGATTACGAGCGCGCTACAACTGATGAGAGGAGTATAATACATATTTAATAAAATTTAATAAAATTTTAGCCCTCATTAATTGTAGAGCAATAACAAAGGAATTGTGTTACGATGTATAAATCGAAATTAAATATTACTCAACACTGTACTTCAACATCGAGATATGTAACACAATTATATATTGTATATTATAATTTCTAATTTTAAAACGCGCGCGTTTTAACTTAAAAGCTTTAAAAAACAACGTCCTGTCATAAAAAAGATCTGCCGTTAATCTACCTATATGTATAATGACGGAAAAATTAGATACACCTCATAAACCTATATGTAAAAAGTCATACATATTGTAGCAAAGAATCATCCGTAATATATAAAAATTAAATAAATAACAAACGCATACAACAAACGCATTAAAAAGAATTATTTCTTTCACTTTTGTTTCTTGAGACTCTTAGACGATTCTTCCATAGACTCCAGCCACAATTGAAGTTCTTTGGTGGGCTCCGGCCTGCGTGTCTCCGGCTCCATTTCGGCGATTACATCCTCTACCGGAACCTTTAATCCAGTTACAGTTTGTCTGCTTAATACGATGGCGCGAATAAAATTGTCCGTGAGACTGATAAACTGCTGTTCTACGTAAAAGTGCTTGTCCTCCCAGTAAATAAGCTGTAACAATACAATTTTGAATCGACGTGATTAGTGGACGTAGAGAAAAAACAAAAGAGCGCAAAAGAAGCGTATCGATCGTACCTTCGTCGTAACCTTGTATGGTGTAAAGATAGGAATCGCTCGGCGATATCGTATAGTGGATGCACCTTGGACAGCGCCGCCTCCTCTTTTTACGATCGCGGCGTAAATTCCAGAATTATCGTAAAAATAAAATCGCGCAAAATCCAACTCGCGCAAGTACCGGGCGTTATTCATGTGCTTCAAGATCAGGTCAACGTCCTGAGTGGTGCAGATTCCTAGAACGAGAAGAATTCATCAGCTATTATTTGTGACGCAGACGAAATACTCTGGTGACCGAAGAATAAGTCTAGGCTTTCAGTTTGGATTTCTCGAGATTATCTATTAGATATACAGATATGTGTATATATATTAAACAAACGCTTTCCTCTTTTGAAAGCGAACGTTTCTATCTCGAATAATTTGATCGCACAATTCGTTCGGTTTTTTAGTTCTGCTTAAAATTAATCTTATATTATATAATGACTGAAAGAAATTTAGCACAAAGAATTAAAGAAAAATTTTGGAGTTTATAACAGACATTGCAAGAAGCCTGTATATGTATACGTAACTGTTGAGTGTTTCTACGAACGAACACAGTGTTCCATAGAGTGAGGAAACACGCCGATATGCTGGCGCATCATTCTGTACAGTTATTTGCCGACCCACATAATGTAACTGAATACATTTGAAAAGCATGATTCATAGAGCGGCAAACTCTATACGTTATAATGCCATAAATAAATGTAAAATTCTAATCCTGAATTACGAACATTTTAATGCGTCGTACGATTGTTACATATAATCTTTGCAAACTGTTGTGACGTACCTCTTTTATATTCATCGTCACAAATTTAAGAATGCAAATTTTATTCGCGACCTTTGATCTTGATACAGACAATAGTGGCAATGAATTTATACAATCTATAATTCGCTTCTTCTATATTCGACGAGTTGTTTTATTTCCCAAAGTTTTTCCTACGACGTATTTTAATAATATCTCAGCAAATATTTTCTTATTAGGTAACACAAACTCGAAGGAATAAGGACTAAAGAGCTGTGATGTTAATGTCTAAATAATTCTTATTTTTAGTTTATTGCGAAAACTATTACCTTAACTAATAACTAACTATTAACTTACTCATTAGGCGAGCGTCTCACTAATTTGAGCACCGAGTAATATTTTTCGTAATAAAGTTAAAATAAGAATTATTTAGACACTAACATCTTGTCACAGCTCTCTTTAGTCCTTATTCCTTCGAATTTGTGTTTATCACATGAGAGCTTTCTGAACTTTATTAATTTATTATGCAACGTCCTTCGTTACCGTTCTTAACCACCATTTATCACCATTAATGTTCTGGTAATAAAAATGCCTCATTTAACAAACCGCCTTATTTAACACACCGCCTTATTTAACAAATAGATTCACTCACAAGTAAATTAACGACAAGATCTATTAATACTCGATGTATTATTTCAATGCACTGTATTGTACTATGATAAAAATTTACCGTAAATCGTTGTCGTATCGAAGAGTTTCTTTTTCTTCTCGAAAAGTCTGCCCCAAAGGATGGTGAAGATAATTCTCAAAAAGTAATTTACATCGAATAGAATGTAGAGAATGGCGACTATCGCCACGCAACAAGAGAACAGCATTATCAGCTCTACCGGCGTTATCTGAACAAAATATACGATCGCTCGAAGATACGTCAGCTCGATGCACGCCTTCTCACAGTCGACAGAAGACTGACCGCAGTGACTCTGGCTTGCGGTCTCTGCAGAACCGGTTTCGTAAGCGTTACTAAAGAAAAACGCTTCAGTGTACGTTATATAACAGATTAATAAAAAATCAAATTAGTATAGTAAGAATATTCTTACTAGTTTAGTATAATAAGATGAAATTTGTAAATGTAATGTCTTATACAAATTTATACCAGATCCATCACATATAATGACATGACAAGTTTATTATGTTGGCCAAAAACTATAAGAAAAATATTAATCACTTTATACAGAATGTCCCAGAAAACTCCATAATCTTTTCACCGGCGGATTCGGAATAGAATATTCTAAGGCAAAAATCCCAATGCAAAAATGTCGAGGCTAGTTTTTAAATGAAAAGCATAGTTGACTAATCAGTGTGCAAAACTTTCGCGCACTTAGGCATCGTGAAGATGTCCTTTCACATTAATTCAGTTTCTAGAAATCAGCATAATTTTAAATATGACAAAGAAATTACTGAAGCACCTTCACGGTATATTATGCCTGAGTAAGCGAAATTTCCACAAACTGATTGTCAACTGTACATGCTTGATTTAAAATTGTTGCGTATATAAAAACTACGATAACCTTGACATTTTTGTATAAGCATCTTCACTTTAGAATATACTACAGAATCCGTCAGTAAAAGGGTTATTGTTCTTTCTAGGACCTCCTAGATAAATATTATTGTTTTAATTTGTACTTTTGTTTTCAACTTAAAATTTCAAAAATTTATCTTCTAACATACACACAGTAAACGAGAAGGTATTTTTTCAAATATATGAACTACTACGTTACATTTACATAGGCGAACATTTACAATGTTAATAAATCGATGACCTTGTTAAGTTTATAAATTATTTATGCTCGCATATGCATACATCCATTAGATACGTAGTTTGCAAAGCCATTACGTAAGCAGAAAAGCAGACAATAAAATATCATACCTACTTAAGAAAATCGAAAATATCACGAAAAAGCGTGTTTGTTTAATAGACTGATATATTTCTTCCAATGTGTAAAGGCACCTAATTTTATTATGTAAATACATAGACATCCATTGTTACAGGTTAAACAAATTAATATTTGTTATTTCCCTGCCGTATATGCTTCACAATCAGCGTGATTATGTAGAAAATAATGAGATGCATACTTCGTTAATGTAATCAGTTATAGTTAACTAATAACGTGTTAAAAGAGAGTATTCTATATTTTTATGCACAATAGTAACATTCAGTTCAACGATAAGTTAATGCGTGAAACAAAGCACACAGAAAAATCCACCTTGCTTCAAATTTTGAAGTATATGATTTGTCATTTAATGTAAAAATATTACACGTACATGGTTACATAATTTTCACATTATATTAATATGCAATATGTTCAAATTTTAATTAATACTTCAATATTTCAATAAATGTAATATCTTACATTGATTTTTTACTCTCAGCAATAAAATATTATATAATAATAAAATATGAAGGTAACAAAAATTATTATATTCTTCTTCTACAATAAAAGCGTCTTCTTAAGAATTTTCATTCTACCAGTAGAGAAGTATACTTAAAGTCACCAGTGATGAAAATTATTGAAATAAAACTTCTTGTTGATCCAACTGGCAATATAATTAATTAAATGTTACAATTGGTACGACGTTTCGACCCAAGTATCAGGTCCTCATCAAGTAACCGAACTGCAAACCAACATGTCACAATTTTTTTAAGGTAGTAAGAAATTAAAGTTCACTTTATAACGCGCGAACGTGCTCACTTAAGTTAAGTCAGAATAATGTTTTTGACGATTTCCTGTTTTGACAATGACCTGTGAATCTGCTATAATTTATGCTCCGCAAACATCTATGTACGAGGAACCTTTTACATATGTACACTCTTAATTGTAATTTATAATTTCTTACGACCTTTAAGAAATTGTGACATATTGGTTCGCAGTTCGGTTACTTGATAAGGATCTGATACTCGGGTCGAAACGTCGTACCAATTGTAACATTTAATTAATTATATTGCCAGTTGGATCAACAAGAAATTTTATTTCAATAATTTTCATTCTCTTCTTAAGAATTCTCACTCTCTTTTTCTAAGAATTCGGCTAATGCACGTTCCAATAGAAATACTAGGAAAAAATAATCGCTCGCTGCGATTACATTAATTACTCTTATTCCGTCTCGATTGCAACACAGACTCGTCGTGTTGAGATCGTTTTTATCATGTATTTTATCGAAAGGCCGTTTTTGGGGCTAAGTTTCCATCTCACCAGTTAAACTCTCAAGTCGCAAGAATCACTAAAATTAATCGATTTTATTCCGGAATTCCGCCAGAATAACTTCCGGTCCGACCGATAATTAAGGATGGAAATCGCATTCCGATATTCGGGTTGTTAGACGGTCGTGGTTGTATATATTGGTGCCAAAACGACGTCACCGCTGGACGTCGCTACGTCCGTTTGTCAGCAGCGCGTCGTCAGCAGAAGTGGTTCCTGCCTCAACATTGCTGAGGATATCTCGTTGCTCTCCATCCACCTGCTCACCTCGGGTGGCATCTCTGGCCGCACAGAACATAACTAAAACACATTACGTCATTTAATTTACATTCCGAGTTCATTTAACTTAATGATCGGATGGACCAAAAGCGATTCGAGCAATCGCGATATATGCCAATATTTCTTTACTTCGTTGTATAATACTTCAACATATATAATATACTTCCTGTTATTGTAGACATATTCTTGATAGCATCAATAACTCATAATAACACGTTTGATTTACAAATAGATTTAATATCGCCAGTAGTTTAAAACCAATGATATGTAATTTTTAAACGACCTACACTAGCCAATGTTTTTATTTAAAAAACACTACAACGTTTTGGTCCCAGGTTTGGACCCTTTTCAAGTAATCTGAAACCGTAAATAACTCAGCAATAAACATTTTTTAAAAAGTAATTACAGTAAAACCTCTTTTATCCGAGGTAATGTGGGGGGGGGGGGGGTACCTCGGACAAGCGAAAACTCGGATAACACGGAAGAAACACAAAATTCGAAAACTTTTATTATTTTTTATATATTTAAAATGCTACAATGGAATTTAACCCCATGAACATATAAAAGTAAAAAATTTAACGAACGTAGATTAAAATTTATGCTTGTTTAAGCAAAAGGTATGTTGCAATCGCAAACTACTCCGCGCATACAGCATAGCGGCGTCATCCGTTTTATCCGAGTTTTTCCGTATTATCCGAGCGCACACCTCGATTAATGCGGAGTGCTTGGATAAGTCCGGTGGCTCGGATAACGCGGAGCCTCGGTTGATCGAAGGCCGTATAACCGAGGTTCTACTGTATAGCAAAAGTAAACCATAAATGTATACTAGTTCACACATTAATGATCTCATATTTGGCCAATATCACTATGTTAGTAGGCTGTGTACAAACAAGAGTGTTATTACATTATACATTATTACGAATTAATAAATATGAATAAATAGGAATAAATAAGAATAAATAAAAATAAATTAATAAACTTACATATTAGTAAAAAACGATTGCACTCTTTGGTTGAAGAGTACAAAGTCAATTGAAGTTGCACCATTAATTGTTAAGCACGAGTAAAAGTGTCAAGAAATGTGTGTTGGACGAGAGATTAGATTGAACTGACAAAATGTCGAACTGACAAATGATCGTCAGAAAGGTGGATCGCCAGTGAATAATGTTCTTGTATAAACCGGATACATCTATTTGTCACCCGTGTCAGCGACTTGGTTGCGTTCTTATATTTTACATATTCAGCTTCTGTATTTGCTCCCATTTTAATCAATTTTTCAGATTTCTTGCTATCACATTTAATGGGTTATACTTGACAAGGACCAGTATTACTGGCCGAAACGTCGTGTATTAATTAAGAAATATACTGTGCCAGTTATTGTCGACAACTCTTGAATTTTGTGACATAGTGATATTGGCCAAACATATGAGATCATTAATAATTGTATGAACAGGTATAAATTTATCATTTACTTTTGCTATAATTACTTTTTTTCATGTTTATGTGCGGTTTCAGATTACTTGAAAAGGGTCCAAAGCGACCGAAACGTTGTAGTGTTTTTTAAATAAAAACATTGGCCGTTTCGCAGGTCGTTGGCAGTAAGTCGTTTAAAAATTACATATCATAAAATTTTTATTTTCATTGTAATTAATTCCTACCTGCGTCACACCTGCTTCCACATTTCCGTTCTGTTTCACTCTACGGGTCAACAATGCGCCAATGACAGTGTCAGCGCTACAGTTAAGAAGTCTCTGCCTGCAAATCGCAATGGCTCTTATGAAACCGTCGCTCGGCGTGATAAATCTATGCTCCATAAAAAAACTCCTCTCGTCCCAATAAATAATCTGAAAAAATTAATGAAATTTACATTACGCCAGATTACGTATATATTTTTGTACATTTATTATGCATAATCAAAATTAAAACTTTGATTGTACATATACATATTATGCATATATTATGCAAAACAATTATATTAAAAACGTGGCATTTTGCGATATTTTGCGCATAAACATCAAAATGTCATACCTCTATGCATAATACATGTTTATTCTCTAAGTCTGTTTTTCTAATAGCGAAATAAATTTAAGTATAAGAAGCCTGTATTGAACCGGTTACCGGTTGCCGATTTAATTAAATTACATAAGTGTTTGCGACATGTACAAGTAAGCCGGTTTGCAATTTTTTTTCATATATTTTGAGCTACAATTTCAGATACTTATGTAACAATTTGTGGCAGCACATGGCAACACAGTCATGCGTATATTCGTTGAACTCGTTGATTTTTAAATTGCAATGCCTTTTGTTCAGCAAAATATTTTTCTTTGTGTGCTCTATATAATTATTAATTAATTGAGAATTAAATCAGAACTTATTATTACTTATACAATACGACTAACTCGCTATTTTATTTTGCGTAAATATGCACGACTGCCTTTCACGTATTTACTCAGTCAGTATAGAGACACGACCTTGTCTCTTGATACATAAGTGTGTCTGTTAAGGACATTAAGGACAAGCACCTCCATAAGGAGAACCGCCATGAGTTTCGAGACTGTGCGTCATTCGATCGCGTGGTGCATTGCAATTACGAAATCAAAATGGCGTTTACTATAGAATTACGATTGCTTTGAAAAAATGTAATTGTCTGCTGACGCGTTTGCTACCACGTCAGGTACATAAAATGACTCAATTGCCTTGTGGCATGCATACGCTACTTTGTACCCAACTAAAAAACGATAATACATCGAACAAAAGTGACTTATAAAAGTTGCACGAAAAGAAATGCTGTTGAATTAAGCAAAATAAGCTGTTGAATTAAGCAAAAAAGTTGCTTGGAAACAAATATACGTAAATAATTCACTCAATTGTATTTGCTATGGATTTGAACTCTAAGCATTTAACTAAAATATCCAGATTATTAAGTTAACAATCTGATGTGTTACATGTATTAATACTGATGTTGTTTCAACGATTTTACGATTTCAATTACGCTGATCTTGTTGATACATCATTTTTTTCAGTGTATCAATTCAATAACATCTCTTTCTCTCATGCTTACATATTTGAGCCTTAAAATATATGCTCGGGCTACATTTAATTCACATTTAATTTGCACAAATTACCTTAGACGTTATTTTAAAGATTGTTAACGGTTTGATGAATCGCCGGTAGCGTATAGTGGCAGCTCCTTGCACGACGCCGGATCCTTGAAAGCGAACCTCTCGGTACAGATCTGTTCTCTCGTAAAAGTCGACCCTCGCAAAGTCGAGCTCGCGAAGATACCTTGCGTTATTCATGTGATACAAAAGCGCGTCCACGTCATTGGTGGTGCAGATCCCTGAAAAGTCATTCTAAGATAATTGTGTTTACTTTTAATGTGAGTTATAATCAATTACATTTTTGCAGTCGTCTAGCTTTGTTTTCTAATGATGAGTATACCGAGATGAGAGATCAAGATGTAAATTACGTAATAACAAGAACGCATTTATGATGCGCGACAAACAATATAATGACACGACAATAAAAGAGGAAAATCCCCCGTTGTGCGATAGGATCCTAATATGGGATAGCGGGATTTCTGTTACACTAATAGGCATCATCAGTTGATTCCACCGTGAATTTATTGCTCTCGGAGCGAAATCTGTTTAGTGGAAAATTCATTGCTAGATTCTGTAACCGTTGCGACAAAAGACTTGTGATTGAATTTGGATGTTGAAAGCCTGCTGTCTCATATTAGAAACCTATCTCATAATAGAGGACTTTCCTCTACGCATATGAACGTAATGTTTCATATTCAAGGGTCAAAATTATAATTCAGTGCGTCGCACTCGAGGGTATATTGTATAAAGTTATATTGGGAACTTTTCAACTTCAAAGAAACAGGAAATTCAATCTCACGATGTTCCACATAAATCGCATATCAAAATAACTGTATTTCTGTACAATTGATCGAAACCAGACATTGTTACGTTATATAATGACATTATATAATGGAACATGATGATTTTAAGACATGGTTGATTTTAACTTCGGATGAAGTTAAAAGAATTAGGGACGCGTAACTGTGGCTGAGCGCCTACATAGGTACGTATACGTAAGTATACACGACTAATCGGTCATTGCATTCGCTGACAAAAGCTACATATGAAATGAACGACGCAAACGTTGAGATACTAACAAGTTAGCTAGGCTAGGCTATCCGCCGGAAACGGATAACGTGATGAATGAACTTGACGAAAATACTCTTCTCGCGCGGAAGACATTGATATTTTGCGCTATTTAAGCTCGTTACGGGGCGCAATCAATAATCCGGATTTGCGACATTCTACGAGCCAGCTGATTCCGCACATGATAGGTCAAGGTTTATACGAGAGGGAGATAACCGGGAGAGATCATAAGGATTCCTAGATTATACCGTAACGACGTGTGGTGGGCTCTTTAATGTAATTGCTCTTAATATTTTAATTAATATCGAGGTGTCACTGTCGCGTTAGAAATTATTATGGGACAAAATTTTCCGTGTTCAATTACACAGGGATTGACAATTAAAGCGTCCTGTTAAAATTCGCCAAAATCGCAAGAATTTCTTATAAAGATAACACAAATCTTAATCTCACTTCTCAATGAAATAATTGAGATGAAAGTCCAGATGAGGCCTGATTAATCATTTTGCGACATTTAAATTAATAGCGTAATTAGTAACCGTGAGATTTCTCACGGTCAAACTTTTTCTAACAAATACTAACGAGGCATTTTAAGCGTTTCGTAAAAATTGGAGCTGAGCGTAAATTTCTCACGTACCGTAGATCACGGTCTCGTCGAGAATGTGCACCCTTTTTTTGCAGTAACGTGCGAGGAAGACGGTGAGGAACATGCGCAGGAAGTAATGAAATTCGACGAGGCCGTAAACGAGCACGATGGCTACGAAGCCCCCGACGAGGACCCAGCAAATCATCGTCTTGATCGCGCCGTGCGGTTGTCGCTCCACGAAAATCAATCCGGCGATTAGGCCGGACGCTCGCCGCGTCGGGGGTGGCTAGACTTGCGATATCCTCCACCGCCGCAACACCTCGCGCCGGTTATCGATTCGTCTGGGCGGTCGACGGCGTTCCTCGTCCCGTCAATAAGAATGCAGGCTGCGCTCGCACCATTTCGAAGAGCCGCGAACCGGTTGCAGCGGCTTCATCTTAAAACATTGGACGACGTCATGGCTCCGGCGGGCTTGGTTGACAGAAATAAAAATCGCGGATGCTGAGACTAGAGTTTCGGCGCCCGTGGGGATTCAGGGATTCCGGACTGAGATTTCGAGATCGTGGACAATTCATACATTCCGTTGCGACGGGGGGCTGACAGTGCCTTCGCTTATAATCGTGTATCCTCGATTGAAACCAATTTTATCGCGGAACGTATGCTACAAATATTAAATATTTAAACAGCCCGACGCACGTTGACGCTATCGATTTTACTGACAAATGACACCCGACTGTCGGCGATCTCTCGCACGAGACTCGCCTAAAAAAATATAATATAACGCTGTTGACTTAGAACCAGTTGACTCTTTACACTTGCCATTTGAGAAGAAAAATAATAGTACGAGGAACCATGTGCTGCTTAGGCGTATAATTGAAAAATTAAACAACTGTCTGCGCTTTACGACTTATTTATTCTAGTGTGGTCGTAGAAAATTTCTAAGTCCGGTATATTCAAGGCCGTCTTAAGACCATCTTTAGATACTCCGTAGAAATGTTCCATACAGCAACTTTAGACAAATGCAAGACGGCCTAAGAATTTCTCAAGCATTGAGAAAAAAAGTTTCCAGGCTTGTCGAAAGATAGCACGCGAATGTACAAGGCGAGGTGTAAATTAATCTTTATTTAAATAGAGAAAGAAAAGTAATTGTCGGGCACGATTAACGTCGACGTGCTAATCAATCGTTTCGACTAGCCAAAGAATCTGGTAAAAATCAGACAAGCCAAAGCAGCGAAATTTTGCTCCGCAGCAGAGCCCACTTTCAATACTTTCGCGTTTACAGCTGTATTATCAGGCGGGACACGTTCTCCGCGAGTGGTCGCCGACGCGCGCGTATCGGCTCTCTTCCCAAAAATTTAGCGTCTACACACGAAATCCGTCCTTCATGTAATAATAACCGCACGTGTCACTCTCAGCGTATTCCCACACGGTCGACACTTGCACAATCCCTCCGGTAGATTTTACCAAGAGTCCGCTGATCCGCCGGCGAGGTCTTCCGGAAGCGCGGGCCCGGGCCGGTACCAAAAGGACGCGGGAGAGACACGCCGGTGGCACCCGCACATCCGGTAGACGAGATCCTATCTCGTCGATGACATCTCGTACACTGATCGACGTCATCGGCTAGCCGCCGTAGCCGACACCGAGATGTCCCTTCCCGAAAGCCGCATCTGCGCCGAGGACATCCAACTAGGAAGTCCGCCTCTTGGTGGGAGGCTCACGGCGGTTCAAAAAACATTTGACGTCACTAGCTAGAGAGAATTGATCCGATATCGAAGACGAAGCGCGGAGTCGAACACTCCAATTAAAAAGAATGAGATTACGGTTGGCTTGATCTTGAACGATAATGATCGCACGCGGCTGCATTTAGAATAATAAGTGTAAACTCGTATTCGTGTCTTTAATAATCAATTTTTTATCCTCTTTAATTGTTACCCACACAGCGCAGCAAGATTGCAAGAACATTGTGGGAACATTTCATCCCACGATTGTAGCAACGGTCAAATGTCTGCTTTAAGAAATATTACTGTTAAATATCCGCTATTAAAAATAATACGTAACATTATAGTAATATTATAGTATAATATACATATACACAATATTATTGTAGATTTTACACAAGTCGGCATAACAGCTTTGTCAATTTTATTTAATTGTAAGTGAAATAAACAGCATCATTTCACATAAAATTACACAATAATTACATAAAATTTTTGCCTCTTGCAAACTTATTTATAGATACTTGTGTGTATAATAATGTAGATACTGGGAATCGTTATTTGCCTGAAAAATGCATTATGGTAACAATTCTAAACTATTATAAATTGATTTTCAAAAAACAAATTAGGTTTTAGAAAAACACTTTAAAACAGTACAATCGGTAACAAGGACATACGTGCCATTCCATTGTGCAAAGAAACAATTCATGCTTAATATCCGTAATATGGATGAAAATTATATTTCTATCGAATAGCTTGTGTGTGTGCTATTCGAACTATTTCGCCTTACTTCATTTCTACGTCGCAAAATGTTCCCATAAGTATTTCCAATTTGTTTCAAAAGTAATACATCAATGTGTCACATTTCTTAAGTTATATATTATTGAATAAAAAGTGTACGAAAAGGTATTTCAAGTTTGATGTAAAAATTGTTATTTGTAAAAATAAAATTTTCAGTCTTAAGGAATAATAAATGCATAGTGCTCTAAAAGTGATTCAAAAGATTGTTGATAATATTTTTTAAATGTTGTCATAACATTTTCCAATTATACTGAAAATTTGTGTTTTTACAATATTTCTGCCACATTGTGCATTGACCGCAATGTAGCTACAAACTTCTGTGCTGCATGGACATTAAATGGTGCATAATGCAAAATATATTTTCAATTACAGCATTCAATATCGATCAATCTCTTTTACAAAGTTGTACCTCGATTTTTGTACAATCTCCGGCATTTCTGATTAATCATTCATTCCGGATTGAACCTGGTCAAGGTCGTATTTCAGCCTTACGAAATATAACCTTGTGGAAAAAAACCAGTTTTCCTTATAGCACAAGAAAGGTCGTTTCCATTTCATTGGAATTTTATCCGCGAATTTTTTCTTGTTGGTCGATTAATGTGTAAAATAACACAAATGAGCTTTATATGTAAATAAATGTACATTAAACGAATGTGTGTGAGTTTATAAGTTATGACACCTTATGCATGATATATAAAATAAAATTTGCTATTGGAAAAATTGTACTAGTTTTATGGACAACTGCTTTTCTGAATTATCCACATTTTATTTTACTGAATAAACTGTCGAATTTATTGTATGAAGACTATACTTGTCAGCTATTGTTGATTTCAACGCCGCGTCTGTCGACGACATCCTTGAAAAGATCGACGTAGCGAGATTATCACCAGGCAATACTATCGATAGAAATACAAAGCTCTGCGGGACCGCTCGGCGTTTCTTGTTTGCCGAAGGAAGTGATGTTTGACCTGTTTCACAATAGAAGCGATAATACAAGACAAGAGCGTACGTTCCGAAATCAGGCGTGAGGATAAAGGATAAACAACGAAATTGCATAATACACGGAAATATATACCCATAAAAAAAAAGAGTTGTTTCCTTTCCGTGTCTTGCTTACCATTGAACTATGTGGTTAACAATGTCACTTCGCAAAAGTAGAATCTGCTCTACTTTACGATCAGAATGACGTGTCTGACGTACAACTTAGAACTTTTCGCGTTTCTTTTTTCTTCTTATAAATCGTATATATACGTGTTTCAACAAGACGTGCGTTGCCTAACGTGCGTACGATTCGCGTAATTACTGCGTATATGATTTGATTAACAGCCGTTTGAAGGCTGAGCATGTACAAAACGGACGACGCTAATATTACGTTTCGGTTCTTGCATCGAGGAAGTGCTTTCGTGCTGATGTTTTATGGAAAACGCGTCTGAGGCGACCGGCACGAATTCGTCGCGAAATCGAGACTGAGGAAGAAGTCGTGCGCCATATACAAGAATTCTCTAACATTTATTACTTCTTTGTTACTTCTTCTGCATGAATAATCCTATATTATGTGTGTATATATTTTACGATTGAGCGGTAATTCATTTAACATAATTTCTGCGGATATAAATAATGAAAACAATTAAGTAATTATGTCGGAAGCCAATGATTTTCAAAATTTGTCGAAGTCTTGAATTTTTGTCAAACGAAACTATAAATTACTTTCCCCTCCCCCCCTACTCATTTTTATAAATTTCCAAGGGAAGATTTTGAGCGAGACAAAACATTTAATGCTTTTATTTTATAAAAATATATGTAAATAAATATACAAATGCGGATGCAAAAATATTCCGTCATTTAAGAAAATACTAGTGTCATCAGCTGAAAAATTATGTTCTGCCCAAAGAGTTGAGAAATTCGCTGACAAAAGGACTATCGCTCGACTCGTATCGGCACAATGGAAGATCGTACGGAATCGGAAATACGGGGACGGCTGGATCCTCTTCGTCCTCGATAGGAAATGTTGTTGTCCCAGTCTGAATACAAACGAGTATAAAATGCAATAATTAATATTAATCGACTGAAACATGTACCTTTAATACATTTCAATAACGTGCCTTCAACAATATGTTAGAAATTCTGTTAATACAATAATACGGCGCTTACGATAAGTTTTGGTATGAATATAACGCCAGCCTCGTAGTTCATTGTGTAATGGTTGCTTCGTTGGACTCCCCACGCGGCTTTGCTTAGATTTGCGCTGGTGAGCACAAACCAGGGAATGCTTTTCAAGTCGGGCGAAATCCTCGTGTAGGATTTAATATGAGGCATCGCGCGCTCTCGTCCTGTTCGCTTAGCTTTCCATTGGCTGTAGAAAAATCAATATCAAATTCTGACTGTAGAAAAAAACGGATTGTTTCTAAGGTATAAAGATATAGGCATAAAGATCAAAATAGAATGAAAAGAAACAATTGTAACTTACCATAAATACGATTCTATCCATTGTTGCTTAGAATGCACCTGCGCGCTGTAGGGTAAGCAGCAAGATAAATTCCGACAATCGAAGCTGAGCTTGTAATTCTGTATCGACGGGTAAATAAACTGGAAATGTGGATGACTCTTTAAACCCTTAGTAGTCTCCCTCGACATACACGGAATTATGTCTCTCGACAACCAGCTTTCGAAGTTTGGACCGAGACTGCCTATGCTGGAACTCTGCGCGACGATGGGCCACTGGGGGGCGTCCGGCGGCAATGTGGCGTGACGCGATAGAACGTGAGCCAATTTCTTGTGCCCCCAACAATCGGCCTCGTTATCCTTGTGAGTCCCAGGGACAGAAGCGACGAGGAACACGTTCACGTCAGAAAAATCCGCCCTTCGCACCGCCCATATCCACTGCGTCAAGGCCGGATATCTATATTTACTCAGATATCGCTCGAGATCCTTTTTGAAGCCTGTTGGAGATTCCCCGTCACTGGGATTTGCCGATTCTGGTAGCAGGGGCAAGTGAGGCGAGATCCACAATCTGATCAGGACACAATAAAAAATATTTATGGATAGATATCATACTACTAGAGAATATCTAAGGACATTTAACACACCCTTGTGTCCTATTTTCCCAGTCGTCAGAATACAAGTTGGCAGTGGAGATAACCACCCTGATCCCGTCATCTTTGTACTGCAGAATCATGACCTTCGTATGATGACAACCAAACTGGGTCGGCATATCTACTTTTATCATGGTAATGTTGCTGCTTAATTTCTCACGATCCACCCTATCGCCGTACAAAATCATCATGTCAGTACGTTGACCGGCCAACAGATACTGCAAACACAGCCATCCAACGTCCACCATGAAGTTTAAATGAAGACTGTTGACAATTTCTCCAAGACTCCGGTCGAGAATCTCAGGGAATGTTATGGAGAACTGCTGATTGTAAGTCTCCTTCGAATTTTCCACCCTCGTGTAGAATAAGTGATAAGGTGCCGAGAAGGCATATTTGATCGCAAACTCTCCTGGTTCCACGACGGATACAGAGTATCCGGATTGTCTCATCATTTGAATGGCCCTCTTCCTAACTTCCTTTCTTGACTTTTCGGAGTCGCAAGATTGGTACATATCCATGATAGACGTTCCGGGCTCCGCATCTCGCTTGCTATTTTTAGAACTGCTTTGAGAGTCGCTAATATTCTGCTGACTATTCTTTGGGTG